TGTTTGTTTGTTTGTTTGTTTGTTTGTTTGTTTGTTTGTTTGTTTGTTTGTTTGTTTGTTTGTTTGTTTGTTTGTTTGTTTGTTTGTTTGTTTGTTTGTTTGTTTGTTTGTTTGTTTGTTTGTTTGTTTGTTTGTTTGTTTGTTTGTTTGTTTGTTTGTTTGTTTGTTTGTTTGTTTGTTTGTTTGTTTGTTTGTTTGTTTGTTTGTTTGTTTGTTTGTTTGTTTGTTTGTTTGTTTGTTTGTTTGTTTGTTTGTTTGTTTGTTGTTTGTTTGTTTGTTTGTTTGTTTGTTTGTTTGTTTGTTTGTTTGTTTGTTTGTTTGTTTGTTTGTTTGTTTGTTTGTTTGTTTGTTTGTTTGTTTGTTTGTGTGTGTGTGTTTGTTTGTTTTTTTTTGTGTGTTTGTGTGCTTGTGTGTTTGTGCGTTTTGTGTGTTTGTGTGTTTGTGTTTGTCTGTGTTTGTGTTTGTGTGTGTGTTTGTGTTTGTGTGTTTGTGTTTGTGTTTGTGTGTGTGTGTCATTGTGCTGTTGTGTGTGTGTGTGTTTGCGTGTTGGTAGGTGTGTGTGTGTGTGTCTCTTGCGCGTGGGTGTGTGTGTGTGTGTGTTCTCGTGGTTGTGTATGTGTCTGTGTTTGTGTTTGTATGTGTGTGTTTGTACTTGTGTGTGCATGTGAGTTGTGAGGGCGTAGACAATGTGTCAACCACGTCTGGGCTGCTGGTCGTAGTTGCCGCCCCACACAACCAAGGTTCCTGGCCAATGCATCTGTCTGACATGCGCACCTACTGCATCAAATGAGCCACAGCCAAAGATACCCAGCAGCATCAATCGAGGAAGCGTGAGCCGAACCTACTTGCGCTTAAATGAAACAAACTCCCCAAGAAACTAACCTCCGCTCGTTTGAGAGCCGGAGAAATCTTGGAAATGTTGGTTGGAATATCTTGGGCGGTCCTTTCTGCGTGAGCTGCATGATGTTGGTGCACACACCGTTCATGAAGTCCTCGGGACAAACCCAGGACCCCAAACGCCAATGCAATGAACGAACAGGGCCGCAACTCTCAATGATGTAAGGGCCTAAAGAGCTTGAGCTGGGGTTCGGGGGTACCATAAAACCAACTCAAGTCATGACCAAGATAAAGCAAGTTTTTCGCCTACAGCCTGCAAGGTGTTGGGCCCCCGAGATTCGCGAATCAGTCTGTAGTCCTCCGAGTGCGAGGTGAACAACAGCGTGTTGGGGTAGCGGGACAAATACTCCTGGTCAGCTCAAAATCAGAGACCCGAAGCCTAGGAATGTGGACCTCCCGAGAATTTTCCGCCATGGCGCCATGCCTTCTCGCACGCTTTGCCATGCAAACGTCTGCTTGAACTGCACTCATGGTTGAGACCGCTCGCTATTGGACAGGGGAAATGAATGAGGAGGGCATCTTTGGGACAAATTTAGTGAGTCCCAAGTCCCTCCCCAACAGAGCATCTGCTGGATGACCAAAACCGACCCGACGGCGAAAGAATCGAATCCGGAGATCCGGGGGGCTAAACGAGCTCATGGCAATCCCATGCCGAATGCCAATACCAACGGTAGCCAGGGCGCAAATATCGCTCATGTCATCCGCATGCCACTTACAAGCTACTCTCTTGACATTTAACAGAAGGAGCCCGAAATCCGGTGTCTTGAGAATCTCTTTTGTCGGGCTGATTCATGTTGTACATCTTGAAGAGAAAAACATAGCTGGGAAAAGGATTTCTGCTGGAGTCGACCCTTCAGAGGAGACATATCCACGGGCTTGCCAGGAGGAAAAAAAAAGAAGTGGCGTTCCTGTCCGTTGCTTGCGGTGCCCCAAAGAAAGGCCGGATCTTTGGATGGCGATCCATCTTGCTGGGCTTCCCCTCTTGCCGAGGATAGGGCAGGAATCCCCAGTTCAAACAGAGCCTGCAGGCCTCCAGCCACACGCAGGCCCCAAGGTCCAAGTGATTCGTGGGCCTCGAGTAGCAAGTCACGAAGCGGTAAGGTCGCGAGGTCGGAGCTGCGGGGCCCAAAAAAAATGCCAAAAGGCCTGTTGTTGCTTGGCCTCCTTGAACAAACCAGCTTCTTTTGAGAGACGCTTTTGCAAAGGGAGCCGTATGGTCGTTTATAGGACAATCTCCAGAAAGGCTAGTGCTTTGGGAAGCCTGGCGTCCAGAGCCTCCAACCCAAGCCTTGGGGCAGTTGCATCCGAGATGCAGGCGGTCCTCTACATCTGGAATTTGGGTCATGTGTTGACTGGCAACCTCAACACTCTTGCCATTTTATGACGAGGACGCTCGAATTTGCGATGCCGAAATTGCGGGAGCCAAGGCTTGGACGGTTGTCAACCTTTTTGCCCTGCCAAGATGAGGTCGAAACAGGTCAATCAAATTGGCCCCAAATGCAAACCCACATACAGACATACACAGGTTTTCAGGACCCCTCTCAGCCGCCATTTTGGCTTCCAATGTTTAATTCCACCCCCACTCGTATGCAACCTACCAGGAAGGTCCCTGTGCAGCCTTTGGAACAAGCTGAGCATGCCTCGAAGAGGAGACACACACACTCACACACACTTTTAGACAGCGAATCCAGATGTTGTCCAGTTGGTCTAGACCAGCCCAGAATCTTCCAAAACGAGCTTCTGAAAAGAACTCAATGAATCTGAGACCCCCTCTTCTCAGGGAACCCCGGATGTGAATGATTGATATTTCTTGCATGGATCGTGTGAATGGTGTTTGATACTCCCCAGATTCCATCATATGCGGTTTATGTGTCAAGACAGGGATTTGGAGCCCTATCTTTACCTTGTGGTGTCCCTTCAAAGGGGCCCGAAAAGAAGTGTTTCCCAGACGGCCATGCGTCAAAACACAGTACCCCCAGTGAAAATCCCAATCCCCACTAAAACGGGTCCCAAAATGGGTGGTGAATTCACCTACCCCAAATTGGGATCCCATCGGTGTTGACCCAGGGCCAGACCTCAGAAAAAAAAAAAAAAAAAAAAAAAAAAAAAAAAAAAAAAAAAAAAAAAAAAAAAAAAAAAAAAAACGGGTCTCTCACACCCATTGTGCCCGGCGGCTCGTCCAGGAGCAGCAGCATGGGCTCTACAAAGAGCGCCTGCGCCAGCGCCACGCGCATCCGCCAGCCGCCGGACATGTCCTTCGTCGCCTGACGCCAAGGGCAAAAAGGTCGAAAATGGCCGTGTGCCCCGCTCGGATGTGCCACTCCCTCCAAACCTAAGCCATACAAGCCAACTACAAACAATACATATGATGGTAGTATATTGGGGTACAAGCCAAGGGGCGCACCTTCACATGCCGGTAATTAGCCAATATGGAAAGCCACTGTGGTTTGTTGCTGTATGATGGTTTTGCTGGAACTCCCTGCGACTGTTGCTCTTGCTTGTGTTGTTTGTGGCCCGTCTTCATGAAGGGTGGCGCTTCGCGGTTCAAACGATACAGCTCGGCAACCGAAGCAGAGGCCCCACGACAAGATGATAGCCAAAAAATGGCACTGTATTGCATTCCATCGAAGAACAAATGCCAAGCTGATCGGGGACTCTGGTCGTTGAAGCAAACAGCACGTGTTGATGCTTCCAGACTCTCTTGGCATGTCTTGGCGTTCTCCGCTACTGAGACTTGCGCGATTTCACGGCAACTAGAGTGCCTACGTTGTGCTATCCAATCCAACACTCAGCCAAACGGGGCCCTGCGTTTGCCAGACCCAAAAATGCCAAACCCTGCAACCCACTGGGGTAAAATCTCACAAAAGCGGAAGCGAGCAACAATCCTGGGATGCACGTTCGGGGGGGGGAGGTTCTGTTGAGTTGTCCAGCCTGCTTTCTGATTTGTGTGGTTCTTGGCTAGTACTTGGTTTTGGGCTTGGTTGTGCTTTCTCCAACATATCCTCCCACCATCCAACATGTCATTTGACAGGGCAGTCCTTCAAGAGGGTTGACTTGCGCTTGGTTTCGGCATTGGATTGGGTTTGGGAGTATAGTTCGGCTTGAATGTTGGGTCTTGATTGGACTTGCCGTTGAGGCTAGATTTGGTTTCGGAGTGAACTTTAGGTTTGGTTTTGGCCTTTTGTATTGGTTTCGGATTGTATGTTAGATTTGGTGTTGGTCTTTCTCTGATACAGCTTTAGACTTGATCTAGTTTCTTTGTTGGGCTTGGTGTTGGCTTCCGATCATGTGACGCATATGATTTGGGAGTTGGCTTTGGATTCGGATGTCTGCTTTTGTATTTAGCTTGTGACGTAGCTTTGACTTGGGATTTGTTGTGCATTTGGAGATCGAACTGCTTTGGCATTGTGTTGGATTTGGAGTTAGATGTAGATTGGACTTGGATTTAGATTTGGCTTTGACTGGGACTGAGACTTGGTTTGAATCTTGTGCTGAAATTGAATTATTTAGATGTGTTGCCGTTCTTTATTTGGCTGCAGCCTGCAACGTCTCTTTCGGTAAAACCAAACACCGATGGCTCTTAGTTTGGATTCTTTTGATTTGCTCTTCAATCTCGAAGCTTTGGTTCCGGCTTTCTTCAGAAAACGTTCGAACTCGGCTCTTCCACCAACCGCCCACACTAACCTCCTCACCTAGCCATCCACACACACGCAACCATCCACCATCCTGTTTTGGGAGGGAAGGCTTCCTTTTGGACTTTCACACTCTTTCGGCTGTCCTTGTGTTTCCCCTCCTTACCTCCCCCCGTTTTGGAGCCCAACTCCAACTCCAACCCACTCTGACGCGCTCGGTCGCTGGGTCGCTGCGCAGCTCGGGCCTTCTGCATCATGGCCTTGGTGAAGCCCAGGCCGTGCAGCAGCTCGCAGGCCCTCGGCTCGAAGGTGGAGGGGTCCATCTTGTCCAACTTGTCACCGATCACCTGAGACGGAAAATGTTGATATATATATATATATATATATATGTATATATATATATATGTGTTTTTTCTTTCTCTCGGGCGGAGCTCGGAGGTCGGGGGTCTTCGAAAAACTTTTCCCTTAAGCAGGATCACCTGAGATTCTTCTCTGGGGCGCGCTCGGAGATCGGAGACTTTCTGTCTGGTAGCTGGGGTCGAGGGGTGGTGGTTCAAAGGAAGGAGTACCCCCTTTGTCCTTGTCAAAGGGTGGGTTTCGTCGCCATTTTGGGGGTGCATCCAAATCTAAAAAAAGCTTGGTGCACCAAACCTTGGTGTGAACCGGCTGCCCGCCCCAAGCCCTCTCTGGTGATTCAGGGAGGGATGGTGTCCAAACCGAGCGCTTGAGGGTGGTTAACCAAAGCTACCTGATGAGGCATACAGCCACTAGGTTGGCAAGTTCATTGGCTCGGTGTAGTGGCTAGATGGCAGAGTCAGTAGGATAGCGTCCACGATGCCAGTCCGAAGCTACGCTTGGTTTCCCGGATATATCAAACGGCGGGGTCAGGGTAGATGGTATCCAGGATATACAGCAAATATGTATCCACTAGGTAAGGGTATGCTTGCATGTACCCTTTTGTTCCCCCTTGGAGTAATGGCTTGGGGGCAACTAGTGCAAGTCACCTTAGAGATGGGGCGATTCAATCCCAGGTAGGCTCCCACCTGAAAGTGGGATAGGCCTAAAGATCATTTTCCAGGGTCACCCCCACCCAACGTACGGCGGTTTGCATGCCCCAGGGTTGATCTAAGATGCCAAGAACATGAAGCCTGCTGCTCAATAGGGGATCTGGTGGGAATATGCTGGAGCAACCGACACGAATGAGCCTGTGTGTATGGCAAAGCAATTATTCGTTTTTTACAAGATCTTGCTTCTTGGATGTTGGTTTGCTGGAAGCAAAAACCATCTCTGCTTCTTGCGTTGATGGCCGGAACTTGGGTGTGAGTCTTCATCTAGTGAAAGTTACCTGACTTCTCAGGCACATGTTGTATCCTTTGGTTCCACAATTCATATGACTTTTCACACCCCGCCACGTCAAATCTTCCGTGGGCATTTTGCCCGAACCTCACCTGGCTATAGGGGTGATTCCCGAGCTATGGATGAACGTCTTAATTAGGAACCCTTTGGTACACATGATGGAATCGGAAAAAAAAATGGGGAAAATATGTTTAGCCATGGCGAGGAGCAAGAAATGTATCATGTTTGGTGGGTTGGGGTGCCCCGCATCGACGAAGAGAACCTTGCTTCGTTCAATGGAAACCTTGTTCTGAAGCTGAAAATGCGCCAACCTGGCATTCCCTTTCTCCGGACACAAAAAAAGGCCCAGCATCTCCAAAAATATGCGAGAGCTGGCCACACGTGGACTGCCACATTTGGAAAAGTTCCAATCCCCGGACACCTGCAGGTAGTCCGCATTCTTCTCTGGATCCTCTTCCAGCAGCTTGATAGACAGCTCCTGGCGCGTCCAAGACCATCCTCGTGCGTTTTGCGGCCACGATTCGGGCTTCAACGGCCACGACCCAAACCACCTCCCCCAAATGCCGTAAGCCTTGTGACATTCTGGGGCGACCAACTGGGATTTGGAATAATGCCACAACTAGGAGCGTGGACCTTTTCGTGCTACTTTCATCAAACCGGTTGAGGCTGCCAAAAAGCTTGTTAGATCCCTGTTGGGTAATACATCGCATGTGTTCATACCCCTTGTTCAGACCAAAGCTGGTGGGAACCAAACAGGGAAGTCAACAGTTCGAAAGGTCGACTGAGTCAACCAGGTACCAAACAAGTCTTCCCAAATCAATGTGAAACGAAAAAGCAGATACAATTTCCGCACCTGCGGTCCTGCCCGCACGGTTCACTTCGGATTGCTTGAGTATAAGCACGTAGTGTCGAATCAGCCTCCTTTTGGTCTTCAAGAAAAAGAACCATGATCGGATACGCTGATTCCAAAGTCTTACCACGCCTCAGTTCTATTCAGGAGGGTGTTGTTTAGGTGGTTGGTTGCCATTTCGAGAAGCGGCCGCTCGCCGTTCACGGGCCCCACACGCCTGACGGGCCCAACGGGCCCAACCAGGCCCGACAGGCCCAACCGGGCCCTTGGGGCTTGACACAACGGGCTCGACGGGCATGACGGGCTCCACGGACTGGACGGGCTTTAACCGAAAGATAGATCGCTAGATAAATAGGCAGATAAATAGAACGATAAACAAATGGATCGATAGACAAGTTGTCGATATGTTGATAGAAATTTAGATAGACTGGAGAGATAGGAGAGACAGGATAGATAGGATAGATAGGACAGATAGAAAGATAGAAAGATAGATAGGTAAGTAAATAGTTAGACAGGTGGATGGGATAAAGTACCTTGGATAGATGAAAGATAGACAAATAGGTAGATGGACAGGTATAGATAGATGAAACTGATATAGCTGGTAGAAGAGAAAGATAGACAGAAGAAAGATGGGTAAGCAGATGCACAGATAGATGGATAGATAGATAGATAGATAGATAGGTAGACCGATACATACATAGAGAGATACGCAGATAAATCGGTAGGAGAGATGTGTAGATAGAAGGATAGCAAGATAGAGACAGAGGGAATAGAGAAATAGATCGATTAGACTACATTAGAACAGATGTTTATAGACAGAAAGGCAAATGGATCATATAGATTGGATCAAACAAATAGGTTGGGAAATGCACAGATGCGGTCATGGACAGACGAATGGACAAACAAACCCCGGGGGTAACGGAAAAGGTACCCTCAACAAAAAGCCACAGCTAGGTGTTTTCTTTGGTGGATCCCAGCGTTTTGGTTGCTTGCTTGAATGCAGGGTGAGAATGAGGGGCTGGCAAGCCCCACTTCTGTTGGGAACCCTCCCTTTCAGTGGCATATGCAAACAAACCAACAAGTCATGGCCTTCTTTTTGCATGGCGAAAGGGGAATCCGAAATGGCAGCCAATGTCCGCTCACTGTTCGGGCCCGTCGGGCCCGTCGGGCCCGTTGGGCCCGTCGAACTTGTCGGGCCCCCACATCCCACCAGCACGGCCCCGTTGAAAGCTCCCGCACCCATTGCACCAGAGATGCTTTTGGGAAAAAAGGCGCTTGAAGAGACGCTTCAAACGGGAGCTCTGGTTATGCTAGCCGGCAAACAGGTTCAAACCTAAGTGATAAAGAGAATGGCCACTCAAGCAACCAAGTCGTGATATGGATGGCCCATTTTGGTCATGGGAACAGATCAGTCAACCCCCCGTTGATGAATAGAAGCTAACATCAAGGTAACCCGGGATGTGCATGGTCCATTTGAGTATGTGTGGGTTTCCTTCTGGTTTTCCCTCCCCCCCCCCTTCCGTATGAGGGAAGAGTATGCCAAATGTGTCACAACGTGTTGCGCGCAGAAATGATGATGAAAATGATGATAAATATGATGGTAAAACGAATATGTTGATGAACATGATGATGAAAATTAGCTGAAAAATCAGTCATGTTTTCTATTTGTTCTAATTAATCAGAAAAAAATGCTGAAAAATCAGTCATGTTTTCTATTTTTCCTAATTTTTCTAATTAGAAAAAATGGCTGAACAATCAGTCATGTTTTTCTAATTTTCCTATTTGTTCTAAATAATTAGAAAAATTAGCTGAAAAAACAGTATTTGTTTGCTAATTTGTCTAATTGTTCTTCTTGCCCCCCGGTCTCCGGGATGTTGGGACCTATTTTTTCTATTCGTTTTTTTTTTTTTTTTCTGATTTTCCTATTTTTTCTAATTAATCAGAAAAATTAGCTGAAAAATCCGTCATTTTTTCTACTTTTTCTATTTGTTTCTATTTTTTCTAATTAATTACAAAAAAATGGCTGGACAATCAATCATGTTTTCTAATTTTCCTATTCGTTCTAATTAATTAGAAAAATTAGCTGAAAAATCAGTCAATTTTTGTAATTGTTCTTCTTGTCCCCCGGTCTCCGGGATGTTGGGACCTATTTTTCCAATTTGTTTCTAGTTTTTAATGTTTTTTTCTATTGTTTCTAATTAATTAGAAAAATTAGCTGAAAAAACAGTCATATGTTTCTATTTTTCAAATTTTATTAGAAAAAATAGCTGAAAAATCAGTCATGTTTTCCAATTTTCCTAATTTGTCTATTTTTTCTAATTAGATAGGAAAATTAGCTGAAAACTCAGTCATGGTTTTCTAATTTTTCATTATATTCTAATTAATTAGAAAAAATATGAAAAAATAGAACAAAAAAAATAGGTCCCAACATTCCGGAGACCGACCGGGGCATAATTAGGAAAATAGAAAAATTAGGAAACATTGACTGACTTTTTAGCTAATATTTCTAATTAATTAGAAAAATAGGAAAAATCTGAATGATTTTTCAGCTATTTGTTCTACTTAATTAGAAAAATAGAAAAAATGGAAAAAGTGACTGATTGTTCAGATATGTTTTCTAACTAATTAGAAAAAAATGAAAAAAAATGGAAAAAATAGGTCCCAACATTCCGGAGACCGGGGGACAAGAAGAAAAAATGGAAAATTTGGCAAAAATTGACTGATGTTTCAGCTATTTTTTTCTAATTAATTAGAAAAATTAGGGAAGGTAGAAAAAATTGACTGATTGTTCAGCTATTGTTTCTAATTAATTAGAAATAATGGAAAAAATAGAAAAATTGGAAAAATTAAAAAAAAAATAGGTCCCAACATCCCGGAGACCGAGGGGCAAGAAGAAAAAATCGAAAAAATAGCAAAAATTGACTGATTGTTCAGCTATGTTTTCTAATTAATTAGAAAAATTTAGGAAAATTAGAAAAAATGACTGATTGTTCAGCCATTGTTTCTAATCAATTAGAAAAAATCGAAAAATTAGGTTCCGACATTCCGCAGACCGCGGACAAATAGAAAAAATAGAAAAATAGAAAACATTGACTGATAGTTCAGCTAATGTTTCTAGTTAATTAGAACAAATAGAAAAAATGAACAAATGCATCAATTTCATCATCATTTTCATCATCCTCTTCATCATCATGTGCATCGTCATTTGTATCATCATTTTTATCACGATTCATCATTTGTACAATCATGTTGATGATCATCATGTCCAAAATTGGAAAGGAAATGGACAGGAAAAGAACTAGACAGAAATACACGAAATAGAAAGAAAGAAATGGATTTGAAATGGAATGGGCATGGAACACACATGCAAAGCAGTGAAAGGAACATGGACAGGGACGGAAAGATATAGGTATATTTTTTGAGGAAATGGACATGAAACTCGCCCTGTCCAAATTCTTGGCACGGGAAATTGCGAAACGAGCACGTGTTTGGCCCGGGCTGGCCTTCGGCACTTGTAGCTAGGAATGGAAAGGAAGGAAATGAATTAAACGAGCGCGTGTTTGGCCTTCGGCACTTCTAGCTAAGAATAGAAAGGAAAGAAATGAAGTTAAAATGGAATTGACATGGAATGGAAATGGAAAGGAATGACAGAGAGGGAAAGGAAACTCGCCTCTTCAGAACTCTTTTGAAAGAAATTGCAAAATGAGCGGTTCCTTTCTTCCTCCGCTTTTACCCAGGATATAGGTAAGAGATCCCAAGAGCGGATATTAAAACAAGCTATCCATCGCTTCGCTAGCTGCCACAACCTTACGACTGAGGAAGAAGTAAATCCTAATGTATAAATCTTATGTTTTGATATCTGTCCTTCAAGTAGATTTAATATGTTGTAGATCCCGGTCTTAAGCCGCTGTGTGGGGGGCATCTTCCAGAATATCACACACATTGGTTTACATTTATAAGTAATATCTATTTGATTTACTAGCTGTATTTTGTCTCGCCATGAATATCACCTGTTGATTATTTACTTGTTTCATCTCTGTGTCTTGTTTATAGGAACTCTATTCCTTAAGATCTTAGTGCTAGGACTGTAAGCGCTTCAAAGATGGGAGATGCATCCAAAAGCGTTCATGTCCTTTTACTGGTATGCTTCTTGGAAATTCCAGAGTCATAACTGTTGCAGCTAAACAAAAGCAAGCTAACATTAATCATATGAACGAAGGGACATCTCCTTACCTTGCAACCCCTCTTTCCCTTAGTAATCACGGCGGTGAGATAGGAATGAGTTAGGATAGGATAATATTGGGACATGGGCTAGACCTTATCATGCCATTTGGCCCGGGCTGGCCTTGGGCACTTTTCCATCTCCGTTTCTTGTCTATTCCGTTTCTCTATTTGTTTCCATTTCTCTATTTGTTTCCATTTCCTTTTCAACGACTTTCCTCCCTTCTCTTTCCTTTCCATTCCCGTTTATTTGTTTATTTATTTCCTTAAAAAACAAAAAGGGAAAAAATGATCGGTTCCATGTTTCCATGTTCTTTGCACTTTCTTGCTATTTCTTTCCATTTCTTTGCTTCTCTTTCCCTTTATTTCTATTCCTTTCCACTCCTTTCCATTCCCTTTCATTCTTAGCTAGAAGAAGTGCCCAGGGCCAGCCCGGGCCGAAAAAGTGCCCGTTTCGCAATAATGGTGAAGCAGCAGGTGTCAATTTCATTTGTTTGAAATTCCTTTTTCATGTCCTTTGCGTTCCTTTCATATCCGGCTCAATCCTGTCCATCTTTCTTTCCACTCATTTTCATTCCTTTCCATTCCTAGCTAGAAGTGCCCAAGACCAGCCCGGGCCGAAAATGTGCTCCTTTCGCAATTGTCCATGTCAATAATTTTGAAGCGGCGTGATTTCTTTGAGATTCAGTTTCATGTCCTTTCCGTTCCATATTTGTTTCATTCCTTTCCATATTTATTTTGATTAAATTTATATTATATTCCTTTGCTTATATTTCCTTCCTATTTCCTCTCCTGTCCATTTCTGTTACTTTCTCTCCCTGTCTTGTCCATTCCTGTCCATTCCTGTCCATCCCTTCCTTTCCATTGCTTTCCATTGCTTTCCATTGCTTTCCATTCCTAGCTAGAAGTGCCCAAGGCCAGGCCGGGCCGAGAAAGTGCTCGTTTCGCAATGTCCACTCATCTCTTTTTCACGTCCTTTCCACTTCTTTCCAATTCCTTGCCGTGCCTTGTTTCCATTGCTATTTCTTGTTATTACATTTGCAATTGTGCTTCCATTAGCTTTCATGTGTTCCAAATATTGTTTGTTCCATGACGTTTCTATCGTGACTGTTTCCTTTTCATTTCGCTCCATTCCATGTCGGTTATTCTTTTCTACTAGATTGATTTTGTTACAAAGCGTGATGCTACGCCACTGATGTATCTCGCAAAAATTAGGAAACGTTAACTATCATAAGCAACGGAAAAAAGAAAACATGCAGATGTACACTTCTTGCATCGAAACAAAACAGAGGATGCGTTTGTGCTTCATTCACTAAATTGATCTCTTTCATTTAAAGAGATCTCGTTTCTTACACGCCACGCACGCGCGCGCCACATTTGGTGCAATCTTCCCAACCACCCCCCCTTCCTCCCAACCCCCCCCCCCCGCAACCACCCCACCCCCCCAACCCCGCCCCCCAACCACCCCACCTCCCCAACCCCGCCCCCCAACCACCCCACCCCCACCCAACCACCCCCACCCAACCCCACCGCGCCGACTTTTCTTCAAGTCCTCTAGGCGCTTGTGCTCGTCCGCCACCACGTTCACCACCGCCTGGATGGCCGTGGTCTCCTCGGGCTTGGCCTCGCTGTCCAGGAACCAAATGTCCTCAGCCACCAAAGTGAGGTCTCGGTCTGTGTGTGGAATGAAGGAGTGAGGGAATGAGGGAATGAGGGGAATGAGGGAACCAATTTGGCCTACAATGTTTGGGTTTTGACTCTTGTGGCTTGTGTGTGTTTATCTTGAGGACCTAAAATGCAAATTGGGATCCCAAGAGTGTGTGGCTGTGTGTTCCTATTCTTGCTGGTGCGATATGTAGGGAATGGCCAAGACGCAATGTGATCTGGAATCGGGATCTCGCGCGCTGCGATAGCTGCCAGCATGGTCGACTTGCCGGATCCGTTCCTGGGCCATTGAATCGGCTTAACAAAGAGATCCTTGCATTTTCCGGCGAGACTTTGGCCAGGTCAAAAGCTATGGAACTTGCATCTCTTCTTCGGACCTGAAAGGTGGCAAGTCACGCCTGCGGTCTTTTGTCGGGGATGCTGCCAATCGAAAGTTGCCAAGAGCGGAGGGGGTGAGCCAAACAGCTTCAAGGTTGAATCCAATTCGTTTTGGAAGTCCCTAAACGAAACCTGAGACATCAGCTGCCAATCCAATCAAAAGCAAGGTCATGTCCATTGGCAAACTCCTTCCCTGGGTGCAATCATACTAAAAGACCAACTTTTGGCTCGTCTTCCAAAAGACATCTAAAGGAACTCAACGAATTGTGGTCGACATAGTTACTCCGGTCCTGGAAAAGAAACCTTGAATCAAAAGAAGTCAGAAAAAACACTTGGCCTCAGCTGGATATGGTTTATCTTCATTGAGCAGCGCTAGGCTGGTCTTTGACCTTTGGTAGAACAATGAGACTTTCAGGAGCCAAAATCTCACAACACAAGTTTGGACTTGGACCCCTTTCCTGGATATCATTGATGTGGCCAGTTATGGTGATTGATCATTTTCAGGATGTTCCAATAGAACATCATAGCCAGGTACAAGTCTTCCCGCCTTGCATCTTGCTCAAGTCTCCTGTGCCCTTGTGAAGGTCTGAGGACTCAGCTGAAATGTCCCTCGAACATTTCAAACCTCCATTTTGAGCCAATGCGCAGCTGGAGAAGTGTGCAACACCTGTGCGATCGCTCTGATCACCACCCAAAAAAGTGCTGGGTTGCCAAGCATTTGCACTCAACGGATCCAACAAAAGCTCACAGGGTGTCCACCTTTGCGCACGTCTCGCCGAAACAGTCACCCTTGCTCGTGGCTCTGGCATACGACCTTTATCAAAACTCCACACATTCCGAAAACGCCAGGTTGCCTTTCGGTGTTCCTTCTGCAACCGTCCCTACCCAAGACATGTCTATGGCTTTGCTACATAGCATATATATATAGAGAGAGAGAGAGATAGATATGTATATGTACATATGCAAAAAGCATGTTGTTGTGCCGAAAGTCATGCCGATCAAGCCATACCGTCGGCCGAAGTTGAGCTCCAGCTTTGTGTCCTTCAGAGTCCGATGCCCAGAATGGGCCGGAAAGGAGCGAGTGTTGCTTATGCGCATTTGCATACACTTGTCGGTGCATATGTTCATGTGATATGTATATGAAAGTGATTGTGCATGGATGTACGCTGCAAAATGTGGAACCACATTCTGCAAATTCTGCAAATCACACGGTGGCTCTCCCGCACATGCTGGATAGTTCCTTTGCATGTTCCTCTGGTCTGTGATGCAAGGTGGGAAAAAGCAATGCTCGGGACTCATCATCAACAGTGCTTGAAGCATGGAATGAAGCAAAAACAACTTGTTGATGAAGCGACAGTAACCCACGGCAATTCCCAAACTCTACATATCTATGTATATATATATATATATTGGCTTGTATATATGTCACAATTTGCCAGTGGCACTCTTTCCTCCCTACCAAAATGAATCAACAACATGGGCTAAGCCTTTCTCCCTACCGCTCGGCATGTTCCCATGAAACACAAACCACCTCGGCCTCACCCAATGCCCCCAGAGAGTCTTTGGGCACCTGACCAGACCCTTTCGCTCCGTGCTTCAAACTCGAACTCACGCAAGACCCCGAAAAACCCAGAAACCTCACCCAGAACTCCCCAAAACCCCCAAACTGCTACACACCGAACCTCTTTGAACATCGCTGAAGTGTCCTTTTTTTTAAGTGGCCTCTCTGTTTGCCCACCCCCCCCTCACCCCCCCCTCACCCCCCAAAAAAACCTCAAAAAAAATGTCCTTGATGAACTCCTTCCCGTACACGCCCATAGAGAACTGCTCGATCTTCACGTCCATGGCCTGTGGCTGGGACGCCAGCACGCCGGTGACCACCGCCGTCTCCAGCACCTAACAAAACTTCCGGACCTCGCTTCTGCCCTTTCAACGTCGCTCCACAAGAAGAGGGCGCCAATACGAAAAGAAACAAAAAATAAAGATATCGATATCTCAACCGAGCTAATTTGAAAAGGATCAAAAAAAAACTGTGCTGTCTAATTAAAAAAAAAAAGAGAAAAGAAAAACCTGACTGAACCAACTGGCGGTTGCACCGCAGATCTCTTGAGGTTGCCCTTCAGCATGGCATCCTTCTTAACCTGCGTGAGAGATCCACCGGACTTCGAGCTCGTTGGTGACGCAGGATCTAAGTAGAACCCGTCCAATTCGGGGGGGGTTCCCTCCAAAAGTGGTCTGAATCCCCACTAAAAGGGGACACCCCCTATAAATCAGGGGTTTACTACTCCGGGGTTAACATTGGGGGAAAGAAGAAACTGACAAGAGGAGAACGGCGATGCTGGCGGCCTTGCGTCTGCCGATCGCCTATCGCCTTGGAACCCTCACAGGGTGGTGAAACTTGGTCCGAAAGGCGACCTTTCGTCAAGCAACCCTGCATCACTTGTGGAAAACTGGGACACGTCACGCGCACGGAGACTTGTTGCCCGCGCCTTGTCAATTTGATCAGCGTTAGCCTCCTTCTTGCCTTGGTTCAAAACCAACCGCATGTAGCGGCTGACTCGCAAGTCTAACGCGAGCGAGGATCGAACACGGAAAAAAAAATCGGGCCACGGAAAGAGTCCACTGAAATTTAAAATCCATCCTTCCTTTCCTCAGGTTCCTCTTGTGAGTGGAAGGAAACCAAAAGGGTACTTTCACAGGTTGGAGATCCATCTGCGATCTTTGAGGGAGCAGCATGCTTAAAACAAAGTTGGAATGGGACCAGTCACAATTGATTGTCCCTTCACCAACCGGAGCCACCGCATGCTCCACGAGAACCTGGGGCTGGCGCTGGCCATTTTGGCCTTGGCCTTGGCTTTGCGCTTCTCATCCTCCTGGCCAAAATCGATCGCGAGGCATCCATGAAATCCCTCGATTGGACCTGAGGAACCTGGAAACCACTGACCCGCTGCTTCTTGTTGGCCGGTTGCTTTGGCAAATCCCAAAGTGACCAAGCCCGTCTTTGCCACTCGCGTCTCCTTCTTGCCCATGGCGACAATATCCACACACTTACACGATGCAAAATGCTGCACTTCGCGTTTAATGGCAACTCAGTCAGACCAACTTGCTCTGAAGACACCGGCCAAGCACGAGAGTCGAAGATGCGGCTCTGGAAAGAATGGGAGAAAAATAAAAGACTAGTTCGTTAAGTGTTCAGTTTTGCGGATGTGTTCCCAAATCCGAAAGCAGAATCCGCATAGACACTTCGCCTCCGCTGTTGAAACAAATGTTGATGCCAACCTTGTTGGTACTGGACCCAAAGAAGTGGTCAGAGTAAAAGCATGAAGCAGCAACATGGCACCAAAACAGACAGCAGTAAAACAAACAGCGGCAAACAAGCCACGGACGTCAACATAACGCCAAGTACAGCCGTGTTTGATACGTTTTTAAGTGGGCGTCTCGAGAAAAACAGACTGCAACAGCCACGTCCCCCGAGTCTGCACATCCCGCACGTGCCATATGTCCCGCACGCCCGCGCGCTCCATGGACGCACCTCGCACATCCCATCCAGGCCCTTGCACCCTTCAACTTCAACATGTCGCCTTTCCCGCCTCGCGTGCTCTTCCTTTTGCCTTGTGCCTTGAATCCACCTCGTTCATTCCAACTTCCTTGCAGTCAGCACTGAAGTTGGACATGTTTGAGCATTCCAAAGGAAAACGTGTTTTTTTGTTTACACAACTGCTAAGCCCATGTTTTTTGTGGAAACTAACCTTCTGACATCTCAAATGTTGGCTGTTTGTTGAATTGACGCTACGCAAACCTGCCAGCGACAGTCAATACACGGATTGTCACAATGAGAGTGTCCAATTGCCGCTATTTGTTGTGGGCAGACCCTTGCCCACATTGCGTACAGTGTGACTGTGTTTGAAGGAAGCGCTAGCATCGATTTTCTTGTTCCCGAAAGCATGGCGAAGGGTTCTTCCGCTGGGTTCACTTGAGTTATTCTCATGAGAGTCATTACAAGGTGTCATTGCAAGGAATCAGCATCATGAAAGTCATTGCAAGGAGTCATTGCAAGGAATCATCATCATGAAAGTCATTGCAACGAGTCATTGCAAGGAGTCATTGCAAGGAGTCATTGCAAGGAGTCATTGCAAGGAGTCAGTGCAAGGAGTCATTGCAAGGAGTCATGGCAAGGAGTCATTGCAAGGAGTCATTGCAAGGAGTCATGGCAAGGAGTCATTGCAAGGAGTCATTGCAAGGAGTCATTGCAAGGAGTCATGAGAGCCATTGCAAGTTGCAAGGAGCCAAGTGCGTGGAGTCAAGTCCGGTGGCTCAGAGAGTTGTTTTTGCTATGTCAGCTGGTAGTGAAACTTGGCGCACGTGCTGCCATGGACATTTACGGGGTTGACGCTGACGAGCTCGCGCATTGCGTGGCGCTGCATGTCATTGAAATGAAGATTGACGAGATTATTGTCAGGAAATGCAGCCGGGTCCTGCGGTTGATCATGGAAAGAACTGGGCGAAGAGCCGCGATGTTTCCTTTCGCAGTCGTTCTTGCTGGTATGGAGCGCGCGCTGATTTCGCCATTGCCTTCTGATGATATGGCCAGGGAGCCTCTTGTGCGGGATTTGTGCTCTCCAGGCTCTCCAGGACCAACGCAACTTCCACGCGTCACTGCTGAAGAGCGGGCCTTTGTGGAAGAGTCGACCCAGGTTCTGCACTTCTTGAACGAACTGGCCGACATTGACGGACCTCTTACACCATTGGAGATGCTGTTGGACGATGCTTGTTTGACTTTGCGTGAGCTTGTCTGTTTACCCTTGAACTCTGACTGAACTTGCATCTAGAAAAGGCTGCGGAAACGCAGCCTTTCCCCTGAGAGCCCGGCTCAACTTAGGTTTTTGCTTTGCCTGAGAAGTTTGGCAACTCCTGAGTTTTGCAAAGCACAAGGAAAAGCGTGTCTGTTTTGCTGCCAGCGTTGCGTGCGGCTCATTGAGTTTTCGCCCGCCGCCCGCCCATTCGGTTCAACTGGCTCAGCTTCGGTTCGGGCTCAACTCGTTGAAATGTCCAGCTTTGTAACCAAAGCTGGCGAAGCCATGGCATCCAGGTACTGGAGGAGGGCTCACCTGGCATTGTGCGGGGGGATTGCCTACACAAGTTGGCGGAAGACATCCAACGAATCACTTGCGGGCAACCAGACAAGATCCCTTTCTCGATGCTCATCAAGGTCTGCGAGACTCTGGGCCCTCTGTACAAAGACAACCGGGTGAACTCCAAGATCATCAGCAAGTGCTGCGCCACATGCGCTGCGCTTGAACACTTCTTCCGCCACAAGACACCGGTGACTGATGTGCGCTACAAGGACGGCTTGTGGATGTTTGATGACGGCCGATGAAGGGGAAGCTGAACAAGGTTAAGCTTGCACTCTCCATGACCAAATGTTGCAGGTGAGCGAGGCCCTGGATGTGTGGGGCGGTCTTGCCGCTGGCCACGACGCAGAGTGTGTCTTTCTGGCCACACTCTGGCCAGTCCATGTCCTGACACAGGACTTGCAGCCGGTGCTTCGAGAGTTCATATACGAACACACTGCGGCAACACAGTGAGTGTTTGGGCTGAGCTTGAGGGGCTGCTGCAGCCTGAGAAACGATGTGTTTGCTGCCGCATGCTTGTTTGCAGGCAAGAAAAAGAGCACCTGGGGCAATATTTGTCAATTTGACATGCAATTGTGCAATTTACTTTGCAGCGCTCTGGTCCAAACTGGCCTTTTTTTAGGGGAGCCATGATGGAACAGTCACCTGCGTTGCGCGCCATGATCGAGGCATTGAAAGCGCAAATGGAACGGAACACCTAAAGGAAGAGTTGCAGATGGTGGTAGCTGTTGAGATCCTGATGAGGCAGGTGTACCACAATCTGGATTCGGCGCTGGACCCCATCGAGGAGTTCCAAAACACGCGCCATGGGGCAGAGACTGTTCAAGTTGAGTCTATGCGCAGGATGTCGCTGCTGCGTTCACCGCTTGCCAGTCCTTGGATCACTCACGCAGCCCGCGAGGCGGGTCACCAGTTAGATCCCCAAGCAGCCTTGCGCCGGCTAACTGTGGTGCCGAGCATGGAGCAGGAAACTCCAACTCTGCAGCCGGAGGAGCCCACTGTCACCCAGCTGCCGGTGGAGGAGTGCAAGCAGGAGCCGGCAAGCCCAACTCCGTTTTTGCCCATGCCAAAATCAGCTGCGGCGACGCAGCTTGACACTGACATGGGCAAGGAGCAAGAAGAAGTTCCGGCCTGGTTCAACTGTTCGCCAACGTCGCCGGCTGATGAGCCTCCATGCGAGGGCCCCCAACACCATCAGTCTCTGAATCTGACCACATGCAGGAGGATGACGACGGGCTGCAGCAACAACTCCAGCGCGCGGAACACCTGACAATGACCCTGCACCGTGTCAATAACCCTGATTCTGACTCTGAGCTGAGCGGAATCTCAGATGAGGATGATGAGGCGGAGCCGGATGACAAAATGTCACAGAAAAACGAGGCCTCCTCCTCCGTGCACCAGGACCAAGATGAGTGGCACAAATTACAGCAGCGGAGACGGCCTATGTCATTGCGACAGGCATCTATGACAACATGCCTGACCCGGATGGTGGAATTGCGGCGGGGCTATCCGGGACTCGACAACAGAAGACGCGGTCGCGCGTGAGAACCAGATTCAAGAGATCCCGAATGATTGGGCTGCCCTTCAGAACTCGGGGAAGCCAGAAAGCGACAAAGAGACTCGCGCCGGTGCACAGGATGCATTCCAGCGGCACCTACACCTATACACAATGGGTCGCTGCTGGATATATTGGCGCGCAGTTCCGCCGGCTGCCACGGGCGCCAAAATTCCCCAAGGGCCAACGCTGGTACAACTACCGGGGACAATGGCTTAAAGTCACCTTCAACGACGGCATTGAGCGGTGGACTGATGATCCATGCGCAAAGCAGCAGCTGGCTGACGTAAAGGAATGGTTCCTGGGCCTCAAAAAGGTCAAAAACTGAACTGCGTCGCCGCAGTCAGTTTTTTGAATCATTGCTTCCGAAGCCTTTGTACAGCTGACGGCTTCGGAAGCGGTCGCACTTCAAGCACACAGTCCCGCAGAGGTAAAAAGGGCTCGTCCGTTTTGCCTGAGTGTTTCTGTCGTGGCACAGTTCATGTTGCGGCATCGTTAATCGTTGATCACGCCTGTCGAAACATGCTCAAGTTGTACGGCAGCTGCTGCACCGACTGCGGCAACGCAGTTCGGATGGCGCCATGCCTTCTTCCAAATGCGTGATTAAGTGGGGAAGACTGTTCAAGTGGGCAAAACTGACTGAGTCGAACGTGCAGTGCCGGTACTGCAAGTGCTTCAGCCGCTCAGTGGAAGGATTGCGAACAACGCACTTGAAACAACATGAGCGTGGAGTACTGCATCGGTTCCGACGAGCGACAGCGCTTGGCTGCAGCCCAAATCTGCCAGGCACCCCGTCAATGGACACCTTTCTGGGTGTTGTGGAGCGCCGCTTGAAAGGAGAATCGCTTCGAAAATCTCCTCTTGGCCGCTACAAGGAAAAGAAGATTTCATGGTGCTTGAATGAGGCTATGTTGGACATGGAGCGGAAGAAACTTGGGAAGTGCCAGGTAGCTCTGATTTCGCAAGATGCGCAAGGGCCGATGCTTTCTGTCAGATTTGCCTGTGTGTCAAACCGCGCTGCGAAACCGCAGCGCGGTCAACTTGAACTGCATCAAGGCCTCTTGGGGCTCTTCCACGGCCAAATTTGCGGCGCCCGAAGGCTTGCCAGGACAACGCTGCGAGTTGCAAAAACTATGTTTCAGGCTAGAAGAAAACCTCCGTCTGGGTGGTGCGGGAAGGCGCCGACATTTTACAAAAAGGCTTGGCAGCATTTTCGCAGAAGGGTGGAACCTAGGCGGCAAAGCTTTGCTTGCTCCATGTTTCAAAACAAAATGCTTCTCCCTGACGCTGACGCTGCTGAGGAAATGTTTGCTTCGGATGCGGCCGCTGATGAACTGAGAGCCGGCCGTTTACTCTCACTTCGGGACCACTTTCCTGCCGAGACTT